GTTTTTGCAAGAGTTCCGAATAGTGGATCGCACATTTTTTCCACTGAAATAGTTACATTTAATTGTAATACCTGGCATTGGGCTACAAAAAAAGGTATCAATTTTGAACGTGAACTTAACTTTTGTAAGTCCGACAATGACTATTTCCGACTCACACTGTTGAATAGCTTTCTCACCCACCTTTCTGTAATTTTAATCAGAGAATATGAACTTCAGTTCTCCAGCAGTGACATCAAATTTAATTTAAGTTATCTGCACCTCGATGATAATGTGTGAAATCCTTTCTTCACGATTGAATTATTCTGGGAAACTATGATTAATTTTCCCCCAGTAAACCGAGTCGACAGATGATTTGATGTGAGTCAATTACAGCGGCCCGTTTTGATGAAACTTTGGAATATATATTAATCATAAGGAATATGTGTTTGACCACATTTCTGGAGAAAAGGTCACTTTCTATCTGAATTAGGTTCGCCTATTCGAATGATTACTTTCTATAGGCTCCTTAGATGGGTGGTACACTTTATCAAGTAGGGAATATAATGTTTTCTTTGAATGTTTGGACTCATTTCAAATACTGCATAAGATGTACCCCTACAGAGTGTTTCATAAATGTTCGATTGATTCATTTTGTAGCAATTTCGGTTTCGGTTTGTTAAACCTTTCTCTCAAGTAAACTCTCAAGCAATTTGAGAACTGTTCAACAAACCGAAAGCGGTCGTAACAAATGAAATTCTCAGAAAAACACAGACAAACGTATTTTATACATCCTATATTCAATTGAATTGGACTCAAGAATGGTTAAACAAACAAAAACTAGTTTGTTACGACCGGTTTCGGTTTGTTAAATCATTCTCAAGTGAACTCAAGTGAATTCTCAAGCAGTTCACTTGACAATGATTTAACAAACCAAAACCTGTCTTAACAAATATAAAACATAAAAGAAATCAGACAGAAGTATTTTTTCAGTCTATATTTCATTCAATTGGACTTGAGAATGTTTCAACAAACCTAAACGAGTTTGTTGCGACCGGTTTCGGTTTGTTAAACCATTCTCAAGGGAACTCAAGTAAATTCTCAAACAGTTCATCTGAGAATGATGTAACAAACCGAAACCGGTCATAACAAATAAAAAACTTTGGAAAAATCAGAGAAAACTATTTTCTTCATACTATATTCAATTCAGTTGGACTTAAGAATGGTTGAACAAACCGAAACCGGTTTGTTACGACCGATTTCGGTTTGTTAAACCATTCGCAAGAAAAGTCAAGTAAATTCTCAAGCAAATCACTTGAGCATGGTTTAACAAATCGAAACCGGTTGTAAATAAAATATTACCCAATTCTGTAATTTCCACTATATAAATAACATTTGCTATTTTTTCACTAAGATTGCTCCAGGTTCAAAAACTAAAAACCTCTCACCTATAAATTGGCAGCAAATTGCCAAAAACCTCTCTCCTCAATAGAAAGACTCAACAGATTATCTCTGATCCGGATTTTTGGCACAAGGTCGGCTTCAATTCGAAAGTGTCTATCGCTTTTCCTTCAAACCGTTCCATGAAATGATTTGCTATCACTGGGCCAAGTGGACTCTCCACCGCAACGCCATCTAGTTGCTCATAGAAGTTTCCCCTTCATTGAAAGTAACTTCCTGTGAGACATGCTCTAAAGAGTTCGATGACTTCATTCGGGAACACGTGATCTGACCTCCTCAGAGAGTCTTCCAGTGGGACTTGGTAAACAAGGACACCACATCGAAGCTGACCAGAATATCCGTCGGCTCCAGCGTTAAGCCCCTAATTTTACCAACGAAGTCTGTCGAGTCCTTGACGTAGGAATCGGTTTTTCCCACATGAGGTTGTAGGAGCGAGGCCAGATGTTTCGCCAAGTGGTAGGTCGGAGAGCGCGGGGTACTGACTATTGGTCTCAGTGGCATGTCGGTTTTGTGTATTTTCGTAGACCGTAGAACAGATTAAGTTCTAAGAATGGCTTTCTGTGTGGTTTCCGACAGTGAGGAAGATCTAATGATTTTGTTCACGTAACTTAACTTAGAAGAGACACAAATCTCCAACTTTCTTTCGATGTTCTAGACCAGGGGTCTCCAAACTTTGAAGCCTTCGGGCCATAATGATTTTTTCAGTCTGTTTCAAGGGCCGATTTCTGCCCTCAACTATATTTCTTGACTAGGATAGTCGCAAAGTGCGTGACCTAAGCAAACTTACGCTTTTTTTGCATTTCAATTATTATTGTGTATTGTGACACTTAACGACATCTAGTGGCGAGTAGTGGTACTATGTACTATCTTTTTCAGCTAACCGCTAGGTGGCACTAGACGTAATTGAATATTTGGAATTACCGCGTTGATTCGAGAAAGTTCTGGTTCTAGCTAGTGTATTCCGATCACCTCGAGCTGGCAGTAATAATTGCATTTAAAAAGACTAGCGGCGCAACTGCGAGTTAGTCTGCGTAGGAAAGGCGAAGGAAGCGAAACTGTCTATTGTGAAATAAAGTAACACCCGTCAATAAAAGTATTTTGATTTGACTTATTGTTTTTATGTGTGATTTGTTAGTATGGAAAAAAAGCGAATAATCGACAGTGAATGCAGAACGTTCCAAGAAAAATGGAACTTTCAGTATTTTGTGATTGAGTCCAGTAATAAGGCGCTATGTTTAATTTGCAATGAAACCATAGCTGTTCTCAAAGACTATAACATTAAACGACACTATGAATCGAAACATCTTCAAAGTTACTCCAAGTATACAGGAAGTTTGCGGAAGGAAAAATTTGAAGCTTTGAAACGCGGACTCAAATCGCAGCAATCTTTGTTTACCAAAGCGAATACTGAACAAGAGTCTGCAACTCGCGCCAGCTTTCGTGTGGCTCTTGAAATCCGAAAACGTGGCAAACCATTCACCGATGGAGAAATGATGCTTGATTGCAGTAGCCGAAGAAATATGCCCCGAAATTTATTTAAAAGTGTCAGTTTGTCAGCAAACACCATGGCTCGGAGAGTGCAAGACATCGCAGAAAATGTATCATCTCAACTGTCTGACAAAAATGGACATCATGAATGGTTTTCTCTAGCATTGGATGAGTCAACGGATGTGTCAGATGTTGATTTTTATTCGCGGAGTGGATAAAAGCTATGAAGTGTATGAAGAACTTCTTGATATTAATAGTATTCACGGCACGACAACTGAGGCAGATATTTTTAAGGGAGTTGAAAATGCCATTAATAAAAACCTTCGATGGAGAAATTTGAAATCTATAACAACTGATGGAGAAAAATATGTATGGTGAAAATAAAGAAGTGGTTGCACTTGTGTCAAAGGCCGTAGAAAATGATAGTGGTTCAAAACCATTAGTCTCACATTGTATCATTCATCAACAGTCCTTGTGCGGAAAATGTTTGGATATGTCTGAAGTCTGAAGGAAATGATTTACCATATCATACTGCCGTACGCTGGCTTAGTTGCGGAAAAGTTCTTAAGCGCTTTTTTGAACTTCGAGCGGAGATCGAAATTTTTTTAAATGAGAAGCAGCACCTTTTTGCCAATTTAGAAAATAGTGAATGGATGTGGAAGTTAGCCTTCTATGTCGATTTGACAAATCATATGAACGAACTGAATTTGAGATTGCAAGGAGAAAATCAGCTTCTCCCTGATTTATACACCAATATCAAATCCTTCAGGCAGAAAATAATACTATTTCAATCGCAATTACGTAAAAAATGTGTCACACATTTTGAAACATGTGAAATATTCAGCCACACTACAGAGACTGAATTTCCCGTCAGTTTTGCAATCGAAACTTTGAGTACTTTGAAGATGAATTTTGATAATCGTTTTTCAGATTTTGATGTCATTGCGAATGAAATTAAGCTCCATTCAAAATCATTTTGATTCTGACATTGAAACCTTGGCTCCGGAAGTCCAAATGGAAATTATTGATTTACGGTGAAGTGATATGGTTAAGAACAAATATCAAAATTCATCTTTGTTGGAATTTTATAAGAGTCTTCCACTGGAACAATTTGATAATTTGCATAAATTTGCTCGTGGGTTGTTTTCTGTTTTTGGTACTACTTACTTGTGTGAGAAAACGTTTTCCAAGATGAAGTACACAAAGAATGTTTACAGATCTCAATTAACCGATGAGCATCTTAAATCTCTTTTAATAATTGGTACAAGTAAAATTGATCCACAACTACAAAGTATTGTCGGTGGAAAATCACAGTTACATAAATCTCATTAGTGTTTTCGTTTTACTGTGATTCATTTCAATTATTTGTTAGTTATTGATATGCTTAAACTTAGATACTTATGTTAAGTTTTACCTTGCAAGTAAATAAAACCGAGTAATTATCGTTCTGTGTTTTCTTCTTCAACTTATCACAGCAATAGTAACAACAATGAGGTTATCATTGGCTGTCGCGGGCCAGATTGATGACAGTAAATCATTGGCTGTCTCGGGCCGGATTGATGACACTGGCGGGCCGGATTTGGCCTGCGGGCCTTAGTTTGGAGACCTCTGTTCTAGACTATCAAGGTTGCAAGTGATGTTCGTGTCTCCAATCAGGCGAATGGCTCTTTTCTGGATGGAATCCAGGAGCTTCAGGGTATGGATAGGGTCGGAGCTCCATACATGTGGACAGTGCTCCAAATTTCCTCTATTTCCTTCCAAAACCAGGCCACCAGAAATTAGAACGCGATAAAATTTTCATCTCAACTACCCCCAGTAGGGTTCACACCAATATACTTCAAGGATCTTTCACAAATTTTGAATATCTGCAATATTTTTTGTCAAACTCAATTGTTTTAAACTTTGGAACTGAACATTTGCACAATTCAAACCAGATCGTAAATTATTCTGTGTGAAATCACGACTCGAATGACACCTCGATAATAATTTTCTATAAATGCTAACTGAAACTTTGTGAAATGCAATTTCTGAACTATACTAATATCCCATACATCCAAATCCATTTCTGGTTTCAGGAACGATATTCCTCTGGCTCTACTGGCCCAGTTTCAACGCGATCGAATTGAAAGGGGACGATCAGCAGCGTGCGGTGATAAATACGTATTTGGCTCTGGCTTCCTGTTGTGTGACCGCTTTTGCCGCCTCGCTTCTTTTCTCTCCTGATCGTAAATTCGACATGGTCCACGTGCAGAATTCCACCCTGGCCGGAGGGGTAGCCGTAGGGGCGAGTGCCAATCTCATGCTTCATCCCGGAGGGGCCATCGCGGTTGGGATCGCAGCCGGATTTCTGTCCGTTTGTGGGTACAGTAGATTGACGGTAAGTCAGTAATCGATGAAGGGATCAATGGATTTGTTTCACTTGCTCTACCATTGTTATAGTAGTCCAATGGAAAGTTACGTTTAGGGTTTAGTTTTTCAGAGGATGCAATTTTATTTTTTTTATGTGTAGGGGGTTAGCGTAAGCTTGAGTTTAAGTTTGTGGGGTAGAAAGTAGGAACCCTTGGCCCCGTCCGCCATCTTGGAAAAAGGAGAGCGAAGGGTTTCCGCACTGTATCTCGTGAACTAGTAACCCCACAAAAAATTTCATTTAACATTATTTGTAGCGAATTAAATTGTCTGCAACTTTCTTTCCATCATTTTTTATCGTAAAATAATAATTGTTATTATTTTACAATATCAATACATAGAATGATACAAAATTTCGAAATATAAGGAAATAAATACGGTTGTACTCCACGAGGGTTTCCCCTGTATGCGGGGTAAGAAAATTCAATAAGTATGAACATATTAGCAGATTAATACATATTGACACAGTAACACAGTCACACACACATACTCACGCTATTTATACTCACTTATATAAAGACTATTCACAATACAACATGAATAAAATTCGAGGAGGATTACAATAAAATTTATTATGAGTTTTCATTCATTAGTTTTCCGAGTACACTTATACACTCAAAGGGACAGTCTATCTAGTAATGATTTTTCAGATCAATGTAATGTTGGATTTTTTCCGTGGTTGGGCGTTTATCCTAGCAATCAATTGCTTGTGGAATGAATATATAGAATTAACTAATTTCAGTTCGTTAGGTATCATATTGTAGCACCGAGGAGCCAGATAGGTGTAATTTCTCGTTACGGTGTTTTTTCGGGTCTAGCTATTATGAGTATATACTTCCTATTTCGAGTATCATGTACATGGCTACTTCTAGTCGCCGTTTTTTTGCTTTTTTGTAGATTAAGAACTATTTTCAAGAAGAAAAGCTGCCTAACATCCATTACTCTGGTTTCATTACATAACATTTCCGTTGGATAGTCTTGTGGCTTACGGAAAATAACTTTAATAATTCTTTTTTGTATAATTATACCGTAAGTGTTCCCACTTTTTGGATGTTGAGAACATTATTGTAATATCTTATTCTATAAAGCACATACCGCAGTTTCTTTACAGTGGCATTTATATGGTCCTTCCATTTCAAGTGTGGATCTACAATGATACCCAAGTATTTTATATTATCTTCTGTGGATATTTTCACTACTTCCTTATCACTCAAAGTAACGCTGAGGGTTTTATATGTTGGAAAATAGAAACTTGATAAACAAAAATAACTGGAAATTTACTTTTGAACAATTTTCTATTGAGCGTTATAACTTTTTTCTGGTCATTCAACAACAAAACACCAAAACAATCTTGTACAGGGTTTTTTGAACTTGATTTGATTTGCGATACTAAACGAGTCGATCACAACTCTGTCAACTATGTCACCTGTCACTCCGTCACCTGTCATATGAAATCCGCAGAGATCATTTCACTCCTGCGGCAACACAAAAATCGGGTTATTTTTAACAACATTTCATCAAAGCACCTGACCGTTGCTTTCCTCATGTCCAATCCAGAGGGATGAAATCGGAAACTGGGCTACCAAAATGATGTCGTCTTGTGATGCTTACAGTGGTTCCTACTGACTAAACAAATTCGAGAAAGCTATTGTAAAGTGAAAAAACGTGTTGAGTTTTGTGAACTGTTCAGCGAGAATCTTACAATGAAGTGAATACGTTACAAATTTCTATCGAATATCGACCAATTTCATCACATATCTTATCTTTTATTTGTTACCAAAATGAAAAAGTGTCGTCGTCACCAATATCTACTACCCAGGGCCGTCTAAATGGGGGTGGATGGGGGGGAGCCTTCCCCCCTTGCTTTTTCGACTTGGGAAAAAGTTGGGAAATTTTGGGCCGTGAAGATAGAAAAAAATAATGGTGAAAAAATGAAAAAAAAATTGAAAACAGAAATGAGAGAGAAGAAAGGGAGAGGTAATAAGAAAACCGAAAGAACCAGGAGAAGGTTGGGATTTCCAAACATGCATAACTTGGAGATCCCAAACTTTGAAATTCTGAGTTGTTTGAAAATGTCAAAAAACTTTAATTTCTCCCAAGTAAGAGAACAGTCCTGAACAGTCCACAAATTTTGAATTGTCCCAACTTTTCGCTGTTTTTTTGACTTGGAAAAGTTGGGAAATTTCGGGCCGTGAAGACAGAAAAAATAATAGTAGAAAACAATGAACACATTATTATTTAAGTGTTGTTTCCTTTCATTTATATTGAATATTCCTATAAATGGTGGATATGGTGGATGACCAAGGACCTTGGTCCAAAGTAGAATAATTCCCATTATTATATTCATAATTACCAAAATTTATTTCTGTTTGTGCATACCCTAACGGGCATAAGCATTCAGCCAATCTTCGGATAGCTAAGTGAGAAAATTAATATATTATAGTAGTAACTAATCCCTCGGCTTTCAATTTTTCGAAAGTTGGGAAATTTTGCTGGTGGGGTTGGGAAAATTTGGATTCCCTCCCCCCTGGTTTTTCTTTTCGCTACAGCCCTGCTACTACTTCTAATAGAATTTCAAAAATTGCTATCCTACCTATAATTAGTATTTGTAATAATAAATATGGATTTACATTTCGTGGAATCAGACCATGCTTTCCATAATTTCATGAATCGTGTAATTTTATGGTAATGAAACCGTTAGTGTTCAAATGTATGTAATATTCGTGTCTATGAGATATACCACGAGTATATACTTTCTATGCCACCCTGAAGGAGTTTCCTTCAGTTGTTCTAACAAATTATTCACCTTATTCATTATTACTGTATATACGTACAACATTGTATAAGACATATAAATTGATGATTTTTATTATTATTCCCGGACTCTTCCCTCGAAGCCCTGTTATACAGAAAACTGCGGGATGAGTGATCATCAGGTCCAAGAATCATGTGCCCTAAGCAGAAGGCATCAGTCAAGAATGACAACCTTCTGCATTTGTCTGGCTGATATTTTTGTCATCGTACGAAAGAAGGCATTATCTTGAGATTTCTGAGTAGAAGAGGCATTATTCCACCAGAACAACCATTCCAACAGAGTAGTATTGATAGAGTCTGCAGAGTTCTGTTATTCATTTGGTATTTCATCCCCTTTTCTCCCTCTTTTCGGGCGATATTTGCCTCACCCGTAGCTGAAAACTCCACCACAAACACCGCCTTGCTCTGATGGTTGACAAAACTCACATCAGATTTGGTTATCTCCAATGCTCTGACAAAGTCGAGAAAGCCAGCCCGCATCATCCACCAATGACCAGTCTCCACGCAGTGACATACCTGATCATTGGGTCCAAGAATCATATGCTCCAAGTAGATGCAATGAGCTTCATTATCACTACTATTATCATATGTCTCTGCTGACTGTTTCCAATCATATACCGATTCAATTTAATTTTTTCTTACACAGCCCATTCTTGAGAACACGTTCAGCATCCCGGACACCTGCGGTGTACACAACCTCCATGGCCTGCCCGCTGTGTTTGCTGGTTTAGTTAGTGGGATCATGGCTGGAATTGCTTCTGAAGATGTTTATCAGAAAAGCCTTTACGAAATATACCCCGCTAGATCTGACAAAGACATCGCTGATATTATTGGTACTAACGTCTTTCCAGAAGATGGTCGAAATGCTGGGCAGCAAGCTGGATACCAAATTCTAGGCTTAGTTGTTACTCTCGTCATAGCTATTGTTGGTGGACTCGTTACAGGTAAGTATGCGGAAAATTTAGAATAAAGATTTTTTCCATCGATCATCTTTCGAGTGAGTGAAAAACTCCTCTCATAAGACAAATTTGTGCCAGCAAGAGCGTGTTGATTGAGTTTGAGTTTCCATCACTCATTGTAAAAAATGTGTTTCATCAATTTCTGATTCTTCAAGGCATATTTCACTGTGGTAGACTTACAGCCGGCAAGTACTTTCATCTAATTTTTTCTCTAAAATTAGTCAAAGAGTAGCCGCAAAATATCTTTGACTATGGTCAATATAGCACAGAGTTTCTGCAGAGTATTGGAAAGTCATATTCTAGATGTTATTTTATCAAATGAATACCTTCTTACACACTGTGTGGAACATTTACCAAAAATCAAAATCAAAATCAAAATGTTCTTTATTGACTATTCTCCATACAATTTTAATGTATTTTTTTTCTGGTGTTCATAAAATATATACAATAATATATACAAATATACAAAATGTACACAAGGGTTTCCCTTATGGAGTGGGACAGTGGGAAGGATTAGGTTGGGTAGTGAATGGGGTAGAGGGAGTGGCAGGAAAAGACCCCGATACATTTGCGCTCTCAAGAATTCCGCACGGAAGAGAAAAGCGCCTCCACACAGTCCCCCGATGGGGCAGTGGGAGACGCCCCCGCTGGTGTTAGCGGTTGGCTCTCCACTCAAAAACGCCTTATATCAGCCTCATCTATAGTTTTCCGCTTCCTGCCGAGGCTTACGCGGAAGTTGTCATTCTGTCGCGTTTCGGTACTTCTCAGAGAATCATTCGTCTGTTTGTTGGTAGCAGTTGTCCATAATCCCCTGGAAAAAGTTCATTAAAAACCCAGGTAATAGTATTTCTGCTATCACGTCATCATGTGTGCGTGAATACTCTTATCCAATTTTTCCATGAACTAAGCGCGATCGCATTCGCTCCGTTCACGGGATATCTGCAGTTCTTCATAGACTAGCCCGTGCTTATGGCTCTGTCCATGATAGCTTCTAACTGCCGTGACGTCCCTCGTCAGCGGGCTCTTCGGTAGAAAGAACTTGAAGAATTTCTGAGCCAGTCTCCTGATATGGTCGATGACTGACTCCACTTCTGCCAGATCTAACAGATGGAACATTTACTAATGAATGAATCATATTACTAATAGAATTACACGTTGAAAAGTGAGACTTCGTGAATTCTCGGCTCTCGAAATTTAGATTTCTGAAAATATACTCCACTGGTCCTCTTTTTGTCAATTCTATCCTTCCTGTCAAACTATGGTGGCTACTTTAGTTGGGTGACAGATGTCTTTCTGGAGCCTTTCGTATGAGTCTTAGAATGTCCTCCTTGCTTTCTCCTTAATAACATAGGCAAATTAAACCAACGATTTCGACGTGACACTAGTAGTAGGTACAACTTGCGTTGTCATGGAATCATTCAAAATCATTAAATCATAGAAATGTCGAATGTTTGGCAATACATTGTTCACAATTGTCAAATACTTGCACCTCCGCTGAATATAACAGAATAGTTCAATATGTTCATCAATACCAATTCTTCATCAAGTAATTCGTTTAGACATTGACCCAAAAAGGGTCATGAGTTGGACTGATGCTTCTCCTAGAGAAGCATCCGGTTATTTGTTTTTGAACCTACTCTTCTCGATTGCAGGGGTGTGAGAGGAGCAGTGGTGTGGGCTTCTGGGAGGGTTAACTTTCTTATTTGTTAGTAACTTCGTTACTGTAATTCATAATCGGTGAAAATAACAACGACTTCTTATGTGTACTATTCCGTATGTTTGGCCGTGGACGGGATATGTTAATTCTTGGGTGTTTTTCTGGCCGAATACAACAGCGTAATCATGCCTCAGCAGATTTGGTCCCCTGTGACTTTTTTGTTTCCAATATTGGAGAGACCCATGAAGGGATGGCGTTTTGTGACGATTGTGGAGATAAAAATCTAATCACGGATAGGGCTCAGTACATAAGTACCAAAAAGTGCGTTGGCACCAGTGACTTATATCCGAGAGGGAAAACTTCGGAGGGGACAAAATAGAAACTGATGAACAAATGAGTATTTTTGAGAAAAATTCAAATTCACCTTATTTTTTGAATGGGCCTCGTATTTTCAAGAATGTATTCGTGGAAACAAAAATTATTGTATACAGTGTGACAATTTTAAAACTAACAAAGGGCTATATCTCACGAACGAAAGCTGATATCGAAAAATGATTGAAACCGTTTCTAGGATAGTAAAGGGAAACTGAAGTGACAAGAAAGAGAACTCACCCCCATCAACCTTCTAGGTCCCACCCACCAGAACTCAAAAAGTTCAAATTGCAAACCCCTACTCATGCTATAATAATAATAATAATAATATGTCTTTATTATTTTCCTCATACAATATATACCTATATAAATTAACAATGATTTTTAATAATTTAGAAAATAAAAGGCGGAGTTCATTTTCTCTAATGAAGCAATCGCTTACTCCATCAGGAAAATGTTCTTCCACTCAACCCACTCCACTCAACCCAATGGTATATATAATAATTGTACAGGGTGAAGCAATAATTGTAAAACTTTGGCTTAAATGGAATATTCAGTGAGGTTTTTGTTGAACTACAAATTTATTAAAAATATCAATTGAGTAAATGTCCAAAGTAGCTTCCGGTGTTTTGTAAACAATAATACAGCCTATTGTCAAAGTTTGCCCGAACTTTAATATCAGCTACCTCCCGGACTATTATTTTGAGTGATAAATGTCCAACGATACTCTTTTGTTAAATAAAAACTTAATTTGCCGTTTTTGCAAAACAAGTTGGAAAGATCTGTTTTTTGGGTTCTGTCAGAGTCAATTATTTTTGGTTTATTTGAGACTTTTAAATGTCATTGATTTTCATCATTTGTACAATCTCTACTGTTATTCAGCTTTAGTTGTCACGATGGTTTACAGTATACCTGAGCGCGTGGAAATAATTTTCATATTTGCCTCCCAGAACCAGTGTTATTTAAAAACAGCTCAAATATTTCATGAAAGGCATCCGGACAAAAATGTAAGTCACGTTCACGTCCGCGATTTAGTTGAAAAGTTTATAAAAACGGGATCAGTGCAAAATAAAAAAAGGAATGTCCCAAGATTACTGAATAAAGCAACCCAAATTGAGGTCTTTGGGAATTTTGCCTATTGCATCAACACTTCAAGTATCTGCAGTGACAGGACTTTCACGTGAGCCGGTTAGAAAGGTGTTGAAATTACATAAGTTTCACACGTACAAAATAAAAATTCTTCAAGAACAAGGCGATGATGACCCAGACCGACGAATTGAGTTTTGTGAACTTATGACTAAAATAATTCGCGTTGAATCGAGAATGTTAAGAAATATTTGTTTCAGTGATGAATGTAATTTCATGCTGAATGGTAATGTAAATAAACAAAACTGGCGGTACTGGAGTGATGCGAATCCGCATCGATTCAGAGAAGGTCACACTCAATATCCTGAAACACTGAATGTTTGGGCAGGAATATTAGGCGATGCTATAATTGGTCCCTTGTTCATACCAGGCAATTTAAGTAGCGACATTTATCTTGATATGCTGGAAAACACAATCAATTGTGCATAAATTAGAGAACCAAAGGGACGACCAAGACTGTAGATGAAGAATTTCTGCACTTCCAACAAGATGGAGCACCTCCTCTCTATGCAGCTCCAGTTAGGCACTGGTTGGATATTAATTATCCGAACAAATGGATCAGAAGAAGAGGTCCCATTGGGTGACCACCAAGGTCACCAGCCTTGGCGCCATCTGAATTTTTTCTATAGGGTCACCTCAAGTCAGTTGTTCATAAAAATCAACCTGCGTCGCTTGGGGAATTGCGAGAAAGAATTACACAAGCATGTCGCGCCGTTACTAGAACAACATTTGCCAAAGTTCGTGCAGAATTTGGAAATAGGTTGTATTATGGTTTACAAAACAACGGAACCCACTTTGAACACTTACTTAATCGACATTTTTAATTAATTTTCAGTTCAACGAAAACCTCATTAAATATTCCATTCGAGCCAAAGTTTTACAATTATTGCTTCACCCTGTACAATTATTATTCCTACCATTGGATAGAATTTTTTATAGTCTTTTCAATAATGTTTCGCAAGTAGGGGTTTGCAATTTGAACTTTTTGTATTTTGGTGGGTGGGGCCTAGGGGGTTGATGGGGGTGAGTTCTCTAACATGTCACTTCAGTTCCCTCTTACTATCCTAGAAACAGTTTCAGGCATTTTTTGATATCAGCTTTCGTTCGTGAGATATAGCCCTTTGTAAGATTCAAAATTGAGACACTGTATAGATCAATCGCATTTTGACTATTGTTCATGACTCAAATAACTTTTCAACTAGAATAAACCAAACTAAAGAGATGGCAAAATTGAGGAATGGGAATAATATTGAGAACAAATTGATGTATTCTTTTTATTGTTATTTTGAATTTATCACAATGATTTACTTTATCACAAAAACTGTTATCTCCTACAATTTATATATATTTGAGATTCTTAATAATCTAACCCTTTGTCATTTTCCAAATGTGGGAATCTTCCAAAGAAAGAAAGGAATCAATCAATTTCAAAAAAGGCTACTCTATACCTACAAAGATGTATAGATCATGCAAAGAAGTTACTTTTTTGGAATTGATTGTTTCCTTACTTCATTTGGAAGATTTTCACATATCATTGTATGAAGATGTAGAAGTAGTAAGCCAAAACCCTTCTTGTCCAAAAATTTTTTCTTTCCCAAAAACATAGCCCCGTCAATTCTGAAATTTATTTCTACACCCCCAAATATATCAAATATTTCCAATGAATATTACTGGAGTTTTATCCCAACAGCAAACCGTTATGTTTAATACTTCGAGACGTGTTTCGATCACAAAGTGATCATCTTCAAGAGAAATATCAAACAGTTTAACTATCTGATGGAATAAAAATAGTTTTAGAAAAATCAGTTATTCATTTTATTCATTGTTAAAATTCAAAATTGAAGTTGATCAACAAGGGTCAGTTAATGTTTTATTTCACAATAGTTTTCATTAATTTTACTATTCCTATGAATACACATATGAATATATTTCGATGAATTCAAATGAATGAATTCCTCTCAGTCTGTATTTCATTTAAATGAATTAACATTATTATCATTCACAAATATTAATCAACGCCGAGATGAATAAATAATGATGAAGAAATATTTCAATTCTATTCCAAAAAAACGTCATCAATCGGAACAACCTCCAAGAACTTGTTAGTCAGCTGTCTAAATACCTCTTGATATCCAAGCTCAACGCCAACTTTGATATCGTCGATAATCACACTCCAGTTTTCGTTCATGACCTTATGGACAGTTTTGGAAAGTTCTTCGTTACCATTGAACAGATTTTTGAAGTCGAAATGAGCATAAGACATGTTTACGTTTATCATGTATGAGGGAACGGTGAAATACTTCTTGTTGTCTTTGGTTACCTCTTCGAAGGTGATGGTATGATTCATTATCCAGTTTTCTGAAATCCAATGTACATTGACAAAATTAACTTAGTGACATGTGATATCTGAAGTGGAAACCGATTTTAGCGAAAATATACTACTATGGTGTTCGGGATACAGCTCTCAAGCTCGTCCAATCTTATCTAAGAAATCGGTGACAATTTGTTATTTATTTATTATCAAATATTTCACTTGTTGAAAGGTACAATGGAAAAACAGATGAAAAAGCATATCTTCCGATATACAATAGCAAGAAAAACGTCAGCTTAAAGAAAATAAAAAACTATTTACATTAACAAATGATTTGCCACCATGAAAAAAAACACAAATAACATGGAGAGGAATAAAATTATCGATGAAATTCATCCAAGAAGTAGCAATTTTTTTCAATTAAAAAAGTTTTCAATCTTGATTCAAAAATATTTATATTTACCTCTAATTTGTTGCAAATTTTCGGTCCGAGAGGGCTGTTCAATGTGATCGAGGTACTAGCAAATTTCCAGAGCGAGTTGGATAATTATGAGTTTCCTTGTTCGATAGAAAACTTGATTTGTTATTGTAAACAAAAATACATAATTCATAAACATATATCCCAACAACCGTGAGAAGTTTCAGGTTTTTGAAAGAGCTCCTGCACGACTCTCTTCATCCAAGTTTAGCAATTATTCGAACTGCTGACACTTTTGTAATATGAAAATCCTTTCCACGGACGATCCCGTACCCCAATTTAAAATCCCATATTGTAAATGACAATACAGACAGACTCAACAAGATTTCAGCACTACAGAATCTTTACGCATAACAATTTTTACGTAATTTTTCACAAAGTAAGTCGATATGTGGTGTCCAGGTGAGTCTGTAATCAACTGTAATGCCTAATAATTTAATTTCTTCAGAGGATTCTACATGTAAATCATCATCCTCATATATACTGAAAATCTCGGACTCATTTGTAACCATAGTAAATTTCATCAGCACAGTTTTAGTCATATTAAGTTTCAAGTGATTTTTACTTGCCCATGTTATAATTTGCTGGTATACCTTTCCAGTAATATCTGATAGAGTTGCCGAGTCTTTCTTTTTCAAAAGGAAATTTGTATCATTCGCATATGTTACCACGTGTACTGATGAAAGTTGTTGAAAATAGTGAAACAAGTCATTCGCAAAAAAGAAAAGTGGTCCATGCAAGTATAGATCCTTGAGGGACACCTTGCTGTATTTTCCGTGGTTCATTCACAGTTTCAACAATCACTCGTTGAATTCTGCTATGCAGATATGATTCATTTAACTTGTGAGCAGTCCCTCTCACGCCATATCGTTCCAATTACTGTAGCAGTAGTTCATGGTTCACGGTGTCGAAAGCTCTTGAAAAAACTATAAATAAACCACAAGTGTGTAATTTGCAATCAAGAGCATTTATAATGTGTTCACTGAAATCACATAGAGCTGTTTCTGTTCTCTTATTCCTTGTGAATCCATGTTGGTTTGATGAGAGAATGTTATTCATAGAAAAGAAGGAAATTATTTGATTTTTGATATTCAACTCAAAAACTTTTGATACAATAGAAAGCAAACTAATGCCCCTATAGTTTTCATACAAATTTTCATCACCCCTTTTATAAATTGGTACAACATTAGCAATTTTCAGTTTGCCAGGAAACATTCCATATTCTAGTGATATGTTAATGATGTAATGCATCGGATATGATAACTCATGAGCACATTTTTTTAGGAGCTTGTTCAAAATCTCATCATAACCACTTGCACCCGAGTTTTTTAGTGTTTTTATCACATCAATTATGTCAAATTCACTAATGGGATGCATAAAAAAGGAGTTTTGGCAGATGGGAACATTATTTTCCATAAATTTAATGTCTATCTCATCATGACACTTCATAGGGGAAAAAAGGGCATAGAAATTATTAGCCATCTCTATTTTTGATATCTCAACATTAACATCATTCATTTCAATATTATTGCTTCGTTTGTCATTTTTCCTGAGATGGTTAATCATCTGCCACATTGTTTTCGACTAATTATTGCATTTTGCTATTATATGATCAACATGGCGTTTTGGATTTCCCTTCAATTCTTCCCTATATATTTGTGCGAGATGCTTGCTCACAGTTTTTTATAGCGATCATCTTCCCTGGCACACTCTGAATAAAGCGAAACCAAGCGTTTGAGTTCCTGGGTGACAATATTAGAACTTTTTTCTTTTTCTCTGTCCACGAAAACGAATTGGTAGAAAAGCCACTTCAATGTAATGATGAATTATATTATGGAATATATCATACACAAGACTTGGGCAGGTAATGCCATCAAGATGTTCCTACGACTCTCTACCCAGTAGATCTTTTCTATATTTTCCTCTGAGAACACTCTACCAAGATTACATGATTTTTCATTTCGTATACCACTTTGTTGAGGCCTCATTAAATCAGCATACCTACATTTCAATTTTAGCGACCCATCTCAAAGATTTTATATTTATGATTTTATTTATACTTATGTTTTAAACTTATATTTCATAGTAGATGAATTTTATCTCTGATCAAGGATTTCTGTATTTGTGACTTGCCATAAATGTACAACTGTATGTAAAATGGTCCAATAAAGTACTTTACTCTACTCTATATATGGTTAACTAGCGAATTGCCCCGGTTCCGCACGGATATACCTAGTCGAAGTAATCGGTATTGTGCATAGTTAAAGCTGTCGACGATCTCAAAGTCCAAAAAAAAAACAGTACAGAGAAATAATGCCGCTGCCAACTAGTCCACGTGGACTGTAGACTTGAATTGGATGATTTTTACTAACCGAGTTTTAGGATTGGCCGAAGAGTCATAAAATTGAATTTGTAGTCATGATATCTGTTTGAAATGTGAATTCCTTGGACAAGTACTGATAGTAATAACGAGTGTGTTAACAACGCAGACTTTTTCCTGTGTAGTGATTCCCATAGCGATGGTGAACAATGCGAAAATGAGTTACCAGTGAATTAGTTTCAGACTATTACAAGCAACATCAGATTTGACCGAAATTTCTTTCTTAACTGTACGTTAAATAGTCAAAAACAAACCTTATGAATTCAAGACGCAATGTGATACAGGGTAACCAAAACCTTCAGATGTTCATCTAATGAAATCATTGAAAAAAAGAATATACAACTGTTACAAAAGCAATGAGTATCCTACAAATGAAATCATTAGGAAGAAATTACGACCATAACGTTAGTTGATGTGACAAAACTCTTCAGAATTGGATAAAGAAACTAGGATTCATATTTAAAATAATAAACAAACGTCAAGCAGTTATGGAAAGCAGAAGAATAGTGGAATTGCGTAACAAATACTTAGAACAAATAACTAAATATAGACAAGAACAACGGCAAATTTTCTATCTGGACGAAACTTTTTATGACACTCACGACACAGTTATGAAAGGGTGGACTGATGGTTCGAGAATGTGTATGCTCCACATGCCTGCAAACAAAGGATCACGACTAATCATTGTGCATTGCGGAGGAAGTAGGATGGGTTTCAAATTCTTTGAAATTATGTGGAAAAAACTTGAGGACTGCAATGTTGACTATCATAAGAACATGGAAGCTAATATTCTTGAGGGATGGTTTGAAAACACATTGATCCCAAATTTGGATTCTTGACAACGCTTTCTATCATTCACGACAGCTTGCCAACTAAAATTTTTAGGAAAGATTAAATACAGAGTTTTTTGATAGATAACAATTTGTATTTTGAAGATTACTATACCAAAAACCAACTACTTAAAGTTTCACAGACAAAAACATTTAAAAAAGTGTATGTCCTTGAGGGTATTGCTGAAATGTATGTACACACCATACTGAGCCTTCTCCCCTATTTTGGTGTTTTCAATCCCATCGAGTTGATTTGGGGAAAATTTAAACGAAGCAACAAGCGTAATAATAATTTTCCAAAATTTGATAAGAAGGTAATAGAGCTTGTTGAACGAGAAGTATCTAATATTACTGAAGAAGACTGGCAGAAAAGGATTAAAAAAGTAATTTCAGTTGAAAAATACTATATAAGAATTGGATACATCCATAATAATGGTGGAAAAAAATTCATTATTGATTTAAATGACGACAGTGATAGTGAAACTGAGAATATGGAAAAGGAATTATCAGAATCTTTCGAAGAAAGTTAGATATACATTTCCTTCATATAATTTTTCTTTATTTTCAGTATTTTTATATCAACATAAGTCACAAAAAGGATTTAAAGCTTTATAACTTCTATTTATTATATGCGAGCGCTTTCCATAGCTGGCTGTGCTTACATTTTCAAGGCTCGACTCAAACTGCTGAGTGAATCGACCTGTATATATATTGAGTTGCATGAAACTATTCCATTCATCCTGAATATCAACTGTTCCTAATGGAATACATATATATTTATTTTCTGACCGTGTATACATACCTATTGTTACATTAGAGGCTCCTTTTCCGTAAACTGGAATGACCAAAATTTTCCCGTTGAAGTCGTAATCAGCTTCTTGTATGACTTCCGGATGTATTGAATTGAATTTCAAAACTTTCTTTGAGGCGTCATAACTGAAAAAAAGGTTACTTTTCAGAAAAACCATAGGCAGATGGAGTTATACCATTCTGTAAATACTGTACAAGAAAGAAAGTTTTTGGCATTCTACTACTCCATGTCTGCCGCACTAGCAAACAAAACGTTTTGTTACTTCAAGTTCCATTTGGCCTTCCAGCCTGAACTTTGTTATTTTCAATAGTGACTTTGGCCGTGGAAGCCTAGGTTCTTATTCTTTTGTTATACTTTCCCTTTTCTTTGACGTGCCAAAATACGACTATTATCAATAAACAACTCAATGGCTTTTTGGCACACAATATTTGTTTTTTCTCGACCCCTCACCGGTGTCATCGGTTTATCACTCAGACCACACATCACACTTACCTCGAGTTGGGTGTTCCACAAGGTTCCGCTCAATAATTGAATATACAGTTGATCTAACTGCATCAACCGAGGATTATAACAACCGAATCCGTTATTTGCGTATCGGCCGTGTGTTCTTTAAGACTTTTTGTAATCCTGCTGAAAGATTACATTTTGATTTCGAGGAAAGGAAATCACAACATCGTGTTGTCATGGAACAGTTTAACAATATTATGAACGAAGTCAGTTTTTTGTGTTCGCGAGTTTGCTTTAACGACGACCATGGATGAAATTGAGAAATTGAGCAACAAAATCAAATTTCTTCACAAATATTGGGAGAATCATGTGTAGCAATTGTTGACTTACTGCCGAAAATAACTCAAAAGGGATATCTGAAAGAATATTGAAATTTCGAAGAGTGACGTAAAAGCAAGAATGAAAAGGTGTTCAATGAAAATGTACTATTAGCCTATACGAAAGGGAAATCAGAGGTTTATTCTTCTAACTCGCTGTGGACCAAGATTTCAATGTTGAAACTTGCTTTGAAATTTTATGACAACATTAACATTTCCAGGTTAGTTTTTAAATCGTACACTATTTTACAGTATTACCTACAGAAATGGTATTTTCTTGAGACGAAAGTCTTATGGATACACACCAAAGAGTTCAAACATTTTGACCGAAGAAGAAGAGTTTTTGTTGGAAGCAGATGGTCATACAGTGTGACCCATTTTCAATGAAAACACCCCCCTAAAATTTGAAGTTGTAAACCGATTTTAATCATTTTTTTTTAAATGTCAAGTACTAAAAGGTCTACCTTGGCACAAAATTTGAAATGTTTATTAAAGTTTCAGGGCATACTACGATATTTTTTCTTAGTCGAAAATCGGGATTTTTTATTAGCGATTTTTTTCAAAAATTCGAAAACTCACACAGCTAACAGTCACAAAAAACACCCTATATCAACAGATATAGCCATGAGAGTATTTTTTTTATGATTTCAACAATAAAGTGCCGCCAAATTAAAAAAATAAATAAATAGCGTAAATGAAAATAATGTAATTACATTCAAGTTTTCACGCAAATTAACTAAAACTAAGAACTAATATTTCAATTTAAATCTTAGTTGCCATGGAAATGATATTACAGTTTGACACTTGTGAACGATTCAAGTGTAGTATTGTCAACAATATTCACTTTACCGTTCTTCGAATTATTTTGTGTCATGGCTGCAAGATTGAGCGTAAGAGAGAAAATTGAAATTGTACGCCTTTCGGGAGAAAGGTTTGTAGAGTATTTAATGAGAGACATCCAGATCGTCCTCGTATCAGCTGCGGTACGGTAAATAAAATAAATAAAATATTCAATGAAACTGGTGCAGTATCAAAAATGAAGTTAAAAAGTAATCCTGTACAAAGACGAAGCAGGAATGACCGGAATGATGAAATCATTTTAGATTATTTCGGAAATAATCCTAATGCCAGTATAAGGAATGCCACTTTAGATTTGAATATTCCACGAGAAACTATTCGGAGATGTCTCAAGGCAAAATTTTTACACACACTTCAAGACGCCTGGAATATTGATTATGGGCCCAAGGGGAATATTTAAACAATAGAAATTTCCTAAGAAATATTTTATATACCGATGAAGCCACTTTCACTTCAAATGGAGTAGTGTCATCACAGAATTGTCGCTGTTGGGCAGCGGGTAATCCTAACTGGGTAATAAACTGTAAAAGCCAGTATTCCCAAAAATTCAACGTCCGGTGTGGGATATTGAACGAACGAATTATTGGTCCTTTCTTTTTTGAGGAAAACATTAATGCGCAGAGGTTTCTAGAATTTTTAAACACAGAGATTTGGGATGCTATTCACGAGCTGCCAATCAATGAACGATCAAATTTAATTGACCAGTTAGATGGGTGTTCAGTTCATTATGCCAGAGCTTTGAGGCAATGGCTTAACAAACATTTTCCAAACCGATGTATAGGCCGTGGAAGTCCGTTTATAGAGTGGCCACCCAGATCTCCAGACCTCACAGTTTTGGACTTTTTCTCTGGGGACTTCTCACACAAAAGGGTTACAAAAACAGCTCAAGAGATAGAAAAGGACTTTGTGTAAAAATTCGACAAGTATGTGCAGATATTAGCCCTCAAGAACTAAGGAACGTAATCAGAAACATTCGTAAGCGCTACGACACATGTATCGAAATACGTGGTGGATTAGGAGAGGCTACTAGAATATGAGTTAGAATTAATTGTTGTACTGAATCGAAACATTTCAATAATTAGTTATTAGTTACGTTTATTAACATTTTTTGCTTCATTGTTAGTTGTAAAATTGTGTAAATGTAATTCCGTTATTTTCATTAAGAATATTTACGCTATTTGTTTTTTTTTCTTTATTGTTGAAATCATAAAAAAAATGATATATTGTTACTATTAGCTGTGTGAGTTTTTGAATTTTTGAGTTGTCAAAACTTTGTTAATAATGAATATTTTTTCATGAAATTTTGGTCACATCTATTTAGAGGCACTCTGAATCCAGTGGCGTAGTGATTTTTTTTAATAAAAAAACCGCTAATAAAAAATCCCGATTTTCGACTAAGAAAACATTATTAAAATCGATTTACAACTTCAAATTTTAGGGGGGTGTTTCCATTAAAAATGGGTCACACTGTAGATAGTTTCTTGAAGAGGTTGTGTTAATGTGTGGTATTTTTGGCGCTTGTGAGCATGATGAACATATTGAGCTGGCTGTGGATGATTTTGAAAGCACCAGTACCAGAGTTTTGGTTACATTGAGGTATACTTAAAACAAAAAGAACAGGGTGTTCGTCATTCCCAAAGAAAGACTTCTTTTGCGGCCTTCAAATCTGGAAAATCCTCACAGGGCACTCGTTTCACAGATCCTCGCAGATCCTAGAAAAATGTGGCCATGTACTATCGGTAAAAGAACTTGGAGGTTGGAACTCTTCTGCGGTGGCGGAGTCGTATATTGAAAACTCAGTTTCAAAGAGAATGAAGATAACGAGGCAACTATTTCATAGTCATGACGCCACACCGACAAGTTCAAATACTGGTGCTATAGATGGTAAGTCTCTCATCGATGGGATAGATAGTTAGTATTATTATAATCATCGTTATTGTAGGCAGAATGAAGTTTTAAAAAAAATATTTGAACAATTGATTTTCCTAACGACCACCGGCAGTCAAAAAATCTTAACGTACGGAGGATGTTAACTTTTCAATTGTCATTTGAAAACCGTTAAATCAAAATAACAGTATGGCATAACGAAACGATTATAATCCTTGTTTGAATGCATAACCAACTGAATTCCTCTTCGTCTCAAGGATAAATATCACTATTAAAGTGATAAAATATGAGTTACCCGTTAGCCTCACAAGTCAGGTTATAAGTTTCTCTTGATAAGTTGTTTTTTATATGCCAATTATATTTTCGAATATTTGACATTATTAATTCAATCAGTCGATGTTCATTACCTTGGAATTTATAATTATGCAATTGATTATCGTGATTTGACTTCATAATTTAAAAAAACTATTTTATATCTGATAGTTTTTCAGTTTTGAATAAGGACATTAGTGGAATAATACTACTGTATTGGTTTGAAAATATCCTTATAGGATGAAACTGCATTAACGTCAATTACAAATACAAGTGGTGAAAAAACAGAAAGTGTTGTTTCTCATTTTTTACGAAAACTCTTTCTTCGATTATTTGTCCCAACTAGAGTAGAATCATTCTTTGTGGAAAAATGCGTTGCAGAAACAAAAATATATAGCTGAGATCGATCTAGAGTCAGTGAAGCTTCAGGGTATATTGGTGTCATACGAATGATCCTCAACTGTATAGCTTTACATAAAAGGATATCCGTCACTCCTGAAGGATAGTGATGAAGTACAGGTTTGGTATCAGTGAGGAATCCAAAATAGGCAGATCTGCAATGGATTATCCCTAAACAGGATGATGAAGGGGCTACGACAAGGGTCTGCAACAGCAGGAAACACCATCTGAATGCCGGAGAGTCGTGCAGTTATATTGGGCTACAACAAAGCCACTCCATGGCAAGAATAATTGAAAACTCCTACAGAATTTGTCATCAAACGTGTCAAAAAAGAACATAGTTGCGACTACAGATACGCTTCCTTCCCAATCTACTCTTCGGAGAAGGGAAGCGAGCTCAGGGGGATCTGAGTCTACTCAAAGTGTATAATCAAAAAACTATGAAGTTCGTATCTTGAATCATTCATTTCCAATGTCTTTATAACAGATTTATTCGACGTAACTGGCAAACGGATCGATGAACATGATTTTGCTCTCAACAATACACACTCAAGTAGGTGTCCAGAACTATGATCCGATTAGAAAAACGCCCACATCCAGAAAAAATATCTTTCTTGGTTCACGATGAACCCCAAATATTGAAATCATATAGAAAGTGAATATTTTTTCGTTGGTTATTATTGAGTTATTTTTCTGTTTAATTTCATCCTAATTTAGATGATCTTCCGCAGTGCTACAGAAAATATTTTGAAGTGTCAAGAAAATCAAAAATCAAATCTTCATTTCACGAAAAACAATCAAACAAAAATATAATACAAAATATAATCAATGATATGAGGCAGCCTGGTTTGCAAATTCTACTTACTGCGAATCTTCAACTTTGAGTTTGGAGAATCCGTGGAGCTTTATATCTTTATATTTTTGGACCAAATTCACTGCACTGGAACCTTCACCTATTTCCAAAGTTTCTATTCTCAAAGGATCAATTGGGAGTAGATGAAGAGATGGTATGCCTTGAATCAGAATAAAATCAATGAAACATATTCCGATGTGATGTTTTAAAACACGGAAAGTATTATGAATTTCGGAAACCTTAGACAAATCAGTTTTGAAAATACAAAGATACATCAGAAATTTTGTTCGAAACACAGTTCTCGTTAAATAACTAACAATCAGATATTTGCAAGTTTGTTCACTGGTGAGATAAAGCCACCAAATGGCTTGAGAGACCTGAATATTTTTATTGTTAGCATCATCATCATGGATTGTAATCTTAGCCAGTTGATTATTATATTTTTGATGGGCAATTTGCATCTCCAACTCTTGCAGAGAATACGTTGACTTTTGGAATGTGCCTTCTTTCAACCTATATGATCCTCATCGGCATGTTTTACGGATAAATTAATGATTTCAGATAGTGACATAATCTAGTTTTTGACCCGACAAGGTGAATAATACTTTGTAACTTGTTATTCATCACCAAAATAAAAATTGAATTTATTGAATATGCAAATTGTGGTGATGACAGTAAAAAAAGCAGCTCTTGAGCAATACTACTTTGATGAGGGAGTTTCTACTGTTCATCATACCTATAGGAGGTTATTTTTCCAATATTTGAATTTCCTGCAGAACCCCTTTAAAAAAGCAACTGTCGCGAATTCCATTTCCTAGACTTAGACCCAACATGCTTGGAGAACGACTGTAGATCCCATCACTTCACTCGTAATCAGTATATAAAATTCCAAACGCCCTTTTTTGAAAGTTCATCCAATATAGATTTTGATTAATATTCACAATACAAAGCAATTATAACACTATAGGAAAAATTAGCAATTCTAATTACTGATGTATTCCTTTCTGCAAGTGTGACTCACACAGAGACAAAAAGCACAAATAATTGCAAATTCTCAACTGAGAAGTCGGAAAATGGGGAATCGATATAATATAAGAAGAATAATAAGAAAAGTCTCATAGACTGGCACTAGTTCAAGTTATGGATCTTCTATCCTCAACAAGAACAATCTTGATTGAAAAATGATGGAAGCGCCACCTGTAACATCGATGAATAACTCCCTAAATGGCTCGGGGAGTTATTAACATTGCCTACCCAGGACACGAGGCTAATGACCTATAGAGTCGATGCCGATAACACCAAGAAAAAAAATTGAACCCATGAGTATTGAAGATGGACGAGGATCCCAAAGACTGTTCATTGATATTGATCGCTGATTGAGACAGCTCTATCTTCATTTGCAAGGATATCATATTCTCAATGAATTGGACCAATTGATCTTCCAGGAATTTTCAGTTGACCTTCATTCTATTCATTTTTATGCGAGCAGTTGGAAATAAATCTTCGTATGCCAAAATTCTGATGATTTTTTCGTATACAGAGAATCGCTCAGGTACCAAGAAGAATATTATCGAGAACATGTTACTGAAGAAGTAATATATCTTTTTTTTTTCTTATTGACCATATCTTTCTCGACAATATAATTTTGTGCGGGCCAATCATCAAAATATGTTTTAAGCCATGTAGGACCCGCCCATCATCTCCATTCAATTGAATGTTCTGGAGAACATCCTCTGGAGGAAAAATCGGCTGGATAACCGTTACCTGGAAGATGAAATCATGCTTTCTTCTTAGTGACTCTTCGTATTTGTTCTACCCGGGTCAATATGAAAGGTGTCCAATGATCTTCTCTTTGAATCCATGCCCTGACAGTGGTCGAATCAGTCCACCAAAAAAGTAGTACATCCGATAATAAGTTTTCAGTTACTGTCTTCGATAATCTTGCTCCAATCGTAGCTGCCAATAATTCTAGATGAAATATGGTCATTGGTTCAATAGGAGAAACTTGATATTTTCCTTGAACCAACTGTAGTGGGTTCGAATCTTGAAAAAATTGCTGTTGCATAGAAAAATGACTTCCTTTACAAAATACATGTAAACTCCAACGTCTGTCAGACGCGACCAAACATCTAGGAAGATAAGGAATATCTTCCACCCCAGTCAAAAAACTAGTAATAATTTGGGAGAAGATGATACTGGGCCAGAAAATCCTATAGGATCAAATAGCCTTTGAGCAAGGGAAAAATAACTCTCTTGGTTATCAAATCTATTCAATACCAGAGTGTCCAAAATTCTATTCCAGTTAAGTCCCTAAACTGGACATGATTCAGTTGCTAATTCAGGTTATTAAAACTGTGTGCTCCCCCCCTTGTAGCTCAAATTTGGCATCCTCGAAAAAAATAGAGAACTAATCAAAGAAGATTTTCATATCTTCTTCGCTTTCAGAGCTAATCACCCAGTTATCGACATAAAAACTCTGACGATATTCAGAAAGAGTAGAATAGAGCCTAAACCGTTTGGACTATATTCCTTCTATCTTCATTCATACTATTTGTTCTCCTAGTGACGTGACAACCATATCTCAGTATTATATTCTTTTATCTAATCCCAATGCATTTTGGAATACTGATTTTTTCAAAATGCTTTCCTCTATGTAAGGTAGCATATTGCTTCCATTCTCATGTATGCATCAGATCAGAAGAAATGCAAAGTTTACCGATGAACGCCGTCGAACTCCGAACGAAATTCGTCCTCTGAAAAGAACAAGCCTGAAAGTGAAGGCGATTACATGTTCCTCTACGATCGACAGGCTTGTTCTTTTCAGGACAGTTCATTAGTTCAGCCCAGCACCACTGATGAGTCCAAACAGCGCTATCTGCTGTTGGGTCACAAGTTCTTCTAGTTGCCATGATGTGAAAGCTGCAGTGAAACGCAGAGGATGAATCTCTTTCGGCGATCGATGTCGAAGCTTGGAGCAACTCATCTCCTTGGGGAGCCTCGTTTAACTTTGATATTTGAGTCTCTTGTCAATTCCATAGATGGCGTTTTCGTAGGTGGAGATGTCATCGCCTCACAATGTTGTTTCTACTCACCTGAACCACCAATCAGTTGAATTGCGACTTCAATTGCGGTGTCCAAACAGCTATCCAAGTCAGGATCATTCAAGTGACACCTCTTGAACTTTTCAGCTGTGAAAAAAAAATTCTCTATATAACAATCAATAGAATTTAAATAATTTGAATAGGTATGTACATATGTATATAGCGTGACTCACGGTCGAGGGTAGGTTAGACGTTTCTGGAAAACGCAAAGCATGATTTTCCTGAACATTCCACCTCTCACATTTCCTCACCTGTTCTATCGATCTAAAATATTTTCAGTATTGCGGCGTTGCCACTTCTATCAAAAAGTCCTAGCAATTATATTTTTTCAAATGGAACACCCCGTATATTAATACATTTTTGGAATCGCTCTGGTATTTTAATACTTTTTTGTCGATAATGTTTTATACCTATCTCTATCTGTTTATCGAGATGAAAAATAAATTGTGCTAAATATGGTCTAAAACATAGCCTTAATTGAAATTAAGTACATCAGTACTCTCAATTCATGGAAAGTTGATATTTTGATGATGGTTTGGACAAACTCGAAGTATTCAAATAACAACAACAAATCGACGTCATATCATACAGGGCGTGCTAAAATTACTATTATTTCCATTGTGCATAAAAGTAGTCGAAAGTTCATTTTTTCTAATGAAACCCCCTGTATATTACTAGATAAATTGAAAGATGGTGAAAATGTTTCGAGATGATATACATGTCCCTATACCTAAATCGTCAAGTTTTCTGAATGAAGCCGTTTTTGTGGAAAAATAGTTATTCACGTTTTACATTTCATTTTGTGAGTGGGGATTATTGCAAAACGAGCGTCAGCAAGTGGAGCAAACTCACGAGCAAAATAAAATGACTTTTAACAAATGTATCATACAAATTTTTTGTATAACATTACTGCTGATATAGAGTCCATGGGATTTGAACACACGATCTTTGGATTACAAGGCATATGTTACAAAACCTTTCACTTCAAATGAGGACAATATTGTTAACGTTTTGGCATATTTTTATGCATATCCAGAAGCTTCCATTCGCAGTGCTGAAAAAGATTTAGGTGTATCACATGCTTCAGTACAACGAATTTTGAAAAATCACGGAATGCAGCCGTATAAATTTACCAAAGTCCAAGCTCTAAAAGCAGAAGACTTCGAACGTGAAATGCATTTTTGTGAATCCCTTTTGATTCATACACAGGAAGATCGGGAGTTTTTGTCAAAAATAATTTGGAGCGACGAATCAAAATTTACGAGGGATGGTATTTTCAATAGAAGGAATAAACATTTTTGGCTGATCATAATCCTCATGTTACAAAAGAAATGGGTTTTCAAGAAAAATTTGACCTGAATGTTTTCTGTATTCTGAAGAACAATAAAATTAGCTGTTTTATTTATGAAGACACACTGAATGCAAAGAGATATCTCCAAATATTAAGGACGACTGTAACCGATTTTCTTGAAAATTTGCCATTAGAGGAATATAGGAATTCGTGGTTTCAACTGGACGAAGCGCCAGCTCATTCCACCCAGGAAGTTTTCAGGAAACTTGACGAACTCTTCGACGATCGTTGGTTTAGGCGTTTAGGGCCGTGGGATTGGCCACCGAGATCACCCGATCTCACGCCACTTGACTATTTTATGGGGTGTTTTAAAAGAAAGGGTATACAGTACTCCAGTGCCTACCAAAGAAGAATTGCGACGGCGAATAGTGCGGAGTATTGAAGATCTGGTTCCCCAGGAAATTGAAAAAGCAACCACAAGTCGCGTACAAAAAAACATTTTGAAGTGTTTAGAATGTAATGGACAACATTTTCAGCATTTATTGTGAAAATGTGATATTTTGTTTACAATTTTGTTATTTTGAATCATCCTATTCTGTTATTGTCTGTACTTTCACATGTTTTAGCCCACAAAATCTTACTTTTTACCTTGAAATGACTGATTTTTGGTACAGTTGTTCCCTGGAAACTTTGAGCCATAGTTAAGGAAATTATTTTGTAACCTTACAAACTTCCTCTCGTTCATTGGTGTTAATTCAGGATACATTTGGTTGAATTTTTTACACGTTCTGACAATGATTTGATCACTTTGTTCATGTGTATAATAAATAATTTCATAAGAATTTCGGTTGAATAATCGATATTTGGATTCATTTTGGAAGATGATTCGAAACACCGTCGATAACTCCTTGTAAATTACTTATAAAAGTAACCGAACTGCTATAAGCTTGATAATTCCACTGCTACCTAAATCCAAATTCTAAAAAAAATAATGTTTCTAGAAGAAGCGACTTTATTGAGAAAACTTGACGATTTAGGTATAGGGACATGATACATCATCTTGAAGCATTTTTCACCATCTTTCAATCTACTTAGTGATATACAGGGGGTTTCATTTGAAAAAATGAACTTTTGACTACTTTTATGCACAATGGAAATAATAGTAATTTTAGCACGCCCTGTATGATATGGAGTCGATTTCTTGGTGTTATTTGAATATTTCAAGTTTGTCCAAACTATCATCAAAATATCAACTTTTCATGAATTGAGAGTACTGATGTACTTAATTTCAATTAAGGCTATGTTTTGGACCATATTTAGTACAATTTATTTTTTATCCCGAAAACAGATAGAGTAAGGTATAGGACATTATCAACAAAAAATTATTAAAATATCAGAGCGATTCCAAAAATGTATTAATATACGGGGTGTTCCATTAAAAAAAATAAAGTTGCTAGAACTTTTTGATGGAAGTGGCAACGCCGCAATACTGAAAATATTTTAGATCGATAGAACAGATAAGGAAATGTGAGAGGTGGAATTTTCAGAAAAATCATGCTTTGCGTTTTCCGGAAACGTCTAACCTACCATCGACCGTGAGTCACGCTGTATATTTATGTACGTATATATGTTCCTGACGTGGAAATCAAAGTACAATCGTCAGAAAATGAATATTAATCAAATTATATACTTTTCTTAATTGTATAGTTTATGCTAATCATTAAATAATGAAACAACAACTAAAATTAATTGGCGCTTCGGGGCGACTTCATTGATTCCAGTAGCACATTTGCTTTTTCAGCTGCAGGAAAACCCGGAAAAACCTGCAGCACCACATCATCTGAAGATCTTGATCTGCCAATGTCCTCTCGCTCATGAAACAAAATGTAGGGTGTCTTCAGAGGCTCCAATAAATTCAATACATCGCCAGAACACTTCGTGACACGACTTTCGTCAAACCAGTCGTAACCAGTATGTTTCGTCTTTGACCAAGGCGTAATAATGACCAAATTCAACGTCAGAACTACAATGAACAATGACTGCATGAATATTATGATAGTGGTCTGCTAGATTCATCTATTTCGAACCTTTGGTGCTCCGTTAGAGGTTGAGTCATGTTTCAAGATCATCAGTGTTATTATCAGATTGACTGGTGCCCCAGCTATACTTGTTTTCTTATGATAATCAGTTAGATTAGCGCATGTTTGGCAATACAGTTGATCATTACTCGATAAAAGTTCCACTTTGAGATGATTTAACAATAAGCTTTGCACGGAATGGTTATTAGTCATATTAGAACACGGTAGTTGAAATTCCCGAAAGTCTACGTTTTTGCTACCTCTTGAACATGTACTATAAAGTAAACAAGTGAGGATTTTTCCAGCAAAAGATCCATAAACACAAGACCTGATAGACTGTACGGAATCATTCAATCCAGAGTGGTCAGGGTACTAATTCTGACTGTAAATGCTTCATTTTGGTGAACAGTAAATATTTTCGATGAAGTGAAGTTTGACTGTCAATGAGAATTTTGTTAGCGAATCAATAAATGGCGTTTCAAAGCTATATCGATTCAAAGAATGAATTGAAATAAAAACTACTATTTGCAAAAGCCAATACATGAAAAACTATTTAGGTTAGGAATAGGGAACCCCAAAATGAAATGAAAGATAATTTTATTTTTTATTGTTCAGATCAAAATAATACAGGATATTCTATTTGAAACAACAAAGTTACCTTTATCCGAATTTATAAAAAAGTGACAATGATTTTTGAACATTCTGTATAATATTGATATTGGGGATCTATTGAAATCAATAGGTCAGATTTCGATTTCTATACATTTCGAAGTAATTTAGTTCCCAATCGTACCCTGCATTTTCATAAAAAAAAGGTTAACTCGACAACGGTTATAGTTAGGTACGATTAAAAATAAATTATCCTTCTTTGTGGATTATGAAACAAAATATCTGAGAATATAAAACGATAATCAATACCTAGGTTAATTCAAAAACGTTCTCATATTTTCTGTTTGAATCTAAACCATTTCTATATATATAATCAGAATGATACTCACGAAATTTATATCCATATCCCAAAGAAAAAAGTAATATCAACACTTTGCACAAAACAATATTCATTATGATTATATTGAGATTCTTCAGAAACAAGCTTTGAGATCCTCGCCGAAAATAAATAATTTAAAATGTGTTAATGTTCGTTTACTTATACTATAATTTATTGAATTGCTTTTATCCCCTCTTGTTGACATTTTGTTAGTTGAAGGTTAAACAAATTGGTTTGGATCATTAGTGAACCTTCTGGCAATCGCTGCAAATCATTTCCGTGTTTCAACTGCTACTATAACACTAAAAAAACGATGATCATTTCAAATACAGAATCCGGCTTTCCTTATTCAACAAAATGAACTTCAATTGTATACGGAGTAATTGAGCAGAAACATACGTTGAAAATAAAATACCACTTTTGGAGTTTGAAATATATTTTATTTTTCGTCAAAAACTATTATTCTAGTCCTAGATTCTGAACAGAGGATCCTAGAAAACTTCGTAAAGGAATTCCAAGAATGTATAGTTATAAACTGTATAAACTGCATTTATTTGTGAAAATGTCCTTTCAGAATGGTATTCCCATTCGGCATTTTGTGAGCAGGCCATATTCGAGAGCAACGTTGTGCCATTCTTCTTAGTGGAGTGCCTGGAGCATTCAAAACCGTAAAACCTCGGATTAGAGTTATAGTGAATGAATTAATATGATCGATGTGGGATATTGTTTTTAAACTATAGATTGCAATGTTTACCCAAAATTTTTCTGTGCACTCCATTTTTTCATTGTTTAAACAAATTATTATAAAAAATTATTGTTGAAGGTCGACTCTTTCAGTTGTATTGCCAATTGCATATGCAGGAAATTTTCTGTGAAGATTCCTGCACTGACGCCTGTCGGGTATAATTCAACGCCCTTCGTGGTATTAGCCAGAGGAATAGTTGTTTTCTGATAGTCGTCAGTCCATTAAACCTACTGTGTAGGTATATCGAGACTGGCTTGAACGTTTGAAGTTCATTTGCTTTATTTTTTGAAAAATCCAAACATACTTTTTACTGAAAGGGAAAAGTTCAAATTAACATTGATGAATCCCCAAATGCCTAAATTATATTCACTCATAAAACTGCACAAACAGAGATATCCAATTGGACCAGTGGTTTCCTTTGTCACTGCACCATCAGTGACATTATTAAAATTCAGTCTAAGGAATTCATATGACTTAACTAATGAAATAGAGAACATACCTCTACCAAATAACGCAAAATTACTATCCTTTGATTTGCAGAATCTATTTCCTAGCATACCGCCTGATGATACTATTACTTTAGTAACAGAATTATTAGATAAAAATAGAGTGAACCCAGTCATTAAACGAGAAATAACTGACCTTCTGTCGTTATGCCTCAAACAAAATTATTTTCAATTCAACAACAATATTTATTCCTCCTCAAAAGGTTTAATTATGAGAAATCCTTTAGGCCCCTTACTTGCAGAAATTTTCATGGATAATCTAGAGAAGTCGATCTTTAAACATCCTTTGATTAGGAATTTTTTGTATTGGCATAGATATGTGGATGACGTTTTGGTATGGAACAACAAACATGATTTTTCAATTTATCGCAAACCGTCCTATACGGATATTACTATACATTACGATTCTACCCATCCTTATCAACTCAAAGTAGCAGCTTATAATAGCATGATTCACAGATTAGTCAATGTCCCTCTTTCAATAGATAATTTCATTAAAGAACTTAATATCATCAAGCAAATTGCGGTTAACAATGAGTTTAAAGCCGAATTTATTAACAAAATACTTGCCAAGAAAGTCTACGTTATAGCGATTCGAGACGTTGTTCCTATTGATAAGGTAGATAATCAAAATTATTGAGCTTTAACGTATCTTGGACAACCAATGGAAAAAGTGACTTCATTTTTTAGAAAACGAGATATTAAAATTTCATATAGAACAAGTAATGCGTTGGGAATGTTAGTTAAAAATAATAAAGATAAGACATCCAAATTCGAGAAATCAGGAGTATATAAATTAAAGTGTGGAACGTGCCCTAGCCCTAAGGTATATATTGGCTAAACTGGCAGAACATTTAGTAATCGAATCCAGGGGAGTCACACGAGCTATTATCTAAACACGGCCCATATATGCTCTCACAGAAGTTCATGTGTGAGAGAACAATTGAATCACATAGTTCTTTCTTTGTGCTTTGATTTGGAAATTTTCTCTGGGGGTAGATCATTTTCAAATTAGCATAGCCAATTCTCAACTTTGATGTGACATGCTCCGTGAATTTGAGTTTGTCAATTATCAAACTCATTAGCTATACTAATGTTCAAAGATGCCTGCAATTCTTCTCTGATTCTATCATTACAAAAAAGTAGAGCCATGGATTTTTTTGGATTGATTTTCAATAAAGGTTCATTTGATATTTCAAAAAGTTTTTGCAGATCATAGTTGAGGGAATTTTCTGATGCTGCAGTATCTGATGGGTTGAAGGAAAAGTATAGCTGCGTGTCGTCTGCGTATAGATGATACTTGCAAAAAGTTAATGACTTTACGAACTGTGCAGTATAAATCGCATAAAATAATGGACCCAAAATACTTCCTTGAGGTACACCAGTGGTGACAGCAATCGCCGTCGATGTCTCATTTTTATACACTACTCGCTGTAATCTGTTCGTTAGGAATGACTTTATCAAATCGCAAGCTCGCACAGAAAAGCCGATATGATTTAGAATTGTAAATAGAATTCTATGATTCGACATATTGAACGCTTTTGTGTAGTCCAGGAGTACCAGGATCGTTGCCTTACTTTCGTCCATTCCCCTCAGAACATCATCTAACACATCAGTCAATGCAGAGCTACAGCTGTAACCTGGCCGAAAACCTGATTGTTTCGCTGGTTAATAATTTATCGAGTTGATAAATGGTACTATCACTTACTGAACGTAAGTGTGAAAACTCTGATGGTGAACTTATTTTTGGCAGAGGATTGACGAGAACTCCCTTTCATAACTGTGGAAAATAGGAGTTTTTTATACAAAAGTTAATTATACGTTATATGTGGCACAATAAAGGGGCAATATAATATTAGAGTAATATTAAGGTTATCACACCCAAATGCTTTAGACTTGTTTGAAAAACAAATTCTTCATTCACCTCCACGAATGTAAAAAAAATGTGGTAATTTTTCAGCAGTATATTCATCTAGTAAACTAGTGCTTGGCTGGCGGGAGTTTTTACATGAGTCAACAAAGTACCGATTGAGTGCCTCAATGTCCTGTAGTTTTTCTGGTAATGAAGCATTGTTTTTCTTTTTAATGTTTAGTTTTTTCAGTTCTTGCCATTTTTGTTTTTGATTGAGTTTTTTGAATTTATAGTTCAGATACGCTTTTTTTTCGGCCCTTACAGCAGCAGTGACAAAATTTCTCATAGTTTTGTAATGTTCCCTATGTTCCACCATTTCTGGTAACCGATAACGATTGATTGATTCATTCCTTAATTTTTGCATTCTGCGTATATTATCCATGGACTATATCCATGGACTATATGGTTTTCTTTTGTTTTTTACGTATCGAACAGGTGCATGATGGTTGAAAAGTTGCAGTAAGTTATCTGTTAAAAAAATTATTTTCTGTTCTATGTTTTCAATCGAGTACAAAATGTCCCATGCTATGTTTTCGAGGTCCCTCTGAAAACAGAGCATATCTATGTTACCTAGAGACCTAAAACTGAATGAATAATTATGACAGGCTTTTAGTTCTACATTCATGGAACAGTAAACGAGCATGTGATCAGATATATCAAGATCCCGAACGCCAGAATCACAAACATCTTGAGAATTGGTGAAAATCAAATCAATCAATGTTGAAGAATTGCCAGCTATTCTAGTGGGTTGGTTGATAATTTGTAATAAACCAAATGTGTCTTCTAGATTCTTGAGAGTAACCACATAGTTATCATTATTCATGAACATATTGACATTGAAGTCACCTAATATTATAATGTCATCGGTTTCACTGAATAATTCAGTTAAAGTGTCTTCGAAGTGATTTATAAATTGTGCAAAGTTCGAATTGGGAGGGCGATATATATTTCCTATGATAATTTTTCTATTTGAAATTGTAGTTTCAATCCATATCTCTTCCAAAAAGTCTTTGGAATCCTGATACAATATCTTACATTTCAAATGATTTTTAATATAAATTCTAGAATAAAATCATATATTTAACAAAGAGTTCGAAATTTTCCACATAGAAAATAAAGGTTTGAAACTGAATCATTTGGAAGCAATGGAAATTAATAAACTTAAAAATTCAAACATTCTAATGAATGACCAACTAGATCTGAATGGATCACTCTTATTGAACTTGTTTTCTTAAAATCCGAAAAAGAATTAATATTGATGTAGATGTGAGGTAATATGCTTTAGGTAATCATAATTCAACAGGTACCTTAGGTAGAGCTCCAGTAATTTTTTGGAGGTAGTCTCAATTTTGATTAGCTGTAGTATATAAATATAAATGTAAGAAAAATTTCAAGTATTCATACACTTGAGAAAGCTACTGTGCTAGAGAAACATGTTGTGATTATATTTTTCAAATAAAGTTTGTGGAAATCAAATCATGAGGTGTAGTTTTTAAAAAAATCTATGATGACTTCTCAACAATATCTTTTCCGAAAAAAGTTATTTCAACCTGAGGTATAGTAAAAGTATGTGGTAAAATAGTAGCATATTCATTTGTCCCATTATTATTTACAATGGCAAAGTTATCAATTTTGCAATTTTGTAGATGAAACAGTATGTTTCGTAGTTTTGAACTTCTTGATGTTACATTTTATCGATTATTTCAAACTATCATCATTTGGATATCACGTTACTTCAACCTAATTTCTATTCAAAGCTCTGTTTTTATAGTAATTGGAGTTACTTTGTTGAAATGATGTTTTATAGCTATTCAGACAGAGGATAAGACTATTTGATGATTTGTAAACAAACTTCAAAATGAATTATGAATCCATTCAAGCAAAGGATGGTAATGGTAACCTTTCTTTGAGTTTCGATATCAAAATTAGTTTCCTATAATTTGATTTGACTTTTTGTGATATTTTTTGTAATATTCTGAAAAT